ACGCATCGATGCCCCTTCATGGTTTGTTTGTGCTTCGAAAAGTTCTTCTATCCTTCGTTTAAAAAAGTTGTCGCGTTAAAATGGAATCAGATATCGTTTTATCTTAGACAATTCTGTGACTAGTAAACAAGGGCTGAAATTCTCTACAATTACGTGATCTGGGGTACCAGTTGAACTAGGACAAATACACTCACCCTGTGTTGAACGCAATTATTAATAGCACTTATTTTTCTAAACGGCTTACACTGATATTAAATTCCCAGACAGACTTAGGACAGTTAAGACGATTGGTTATCCGAAAGCATAACGCCAAACGTTGTTTAGGCTACGCAAATGATGTTAGAAGGCCTTCTAAAATTAAACTGTTTATCTGCAACGAGGTAGTCATAACAGATTTTTGAAGAAAGACTTGGTTTTCGTTTTTCAATACAAACAAATAAATAATGATAAAAAAAATATGTTGAATACCTCAATCTGCTTTAAAAACACAACATCGATATTAGAAATATACTGACTGTTTTTTCCTACTTTTCAGTTTTTTTTTTCTCGTAGTTTTTCGCCTTTTTTCATTAATGAACGAGAAAGTATTGAGTTTTACGCTTTTCTAATGAGCCCCAGCGAAGTCCGCCCTTTCTGTTAACCGTGGGCTTTCGACACGGAAAAGAGGCATTCCAAGAATGGTAGCCGTGTCGCCAAGTCGCCGCATACTTTTAACGCAAGTACAATGTCCAAAAAAAAAAATTACGTCGCTATCGTTTTTTTAAGTGTGTTCATTTGCAAAGTCACAGTAAATTTTTCGTGTAATCTTCTAGACTTTCATTTTACTTCTTTCAAAGTGAGTTATTTGGCATTATCCTTCTCGTATTGAAATACACACCGTTTAAAAATTCATTTTAAATTCATTTTAAATTCAGTTACTTATGAAGTTCCGACAACTCTCTTCTACTATTTAAAGAAAAACCCTGAGATTGTAGCATCTACAGACTTAAAAAGACTTCTGTACTATTCTGAAACTTCACGCGTCTCTGTGTTTTCTAATTTGGCTCCGAAAGAGAATTCTAACGAGGATGGCTATTGATTGAAAAGATTGTAAAACAAGGATTGTACGTGAGTTCAAAATATTAGTTTGGTAGGATATGAAAACAATTAAGAGACAATAATAACCCACGAAGGACAAAGGATGACTTGGGATGGAGAAGATTAAGACGAATTGTGAATGAAAACCATGACGAATTTCGGTTACCGTTTCCCAGGATGCACGAAATTAGCAGTAGACCTTCCATTTTTCGAGACTTAGGAAGTTTCGTATGCGATGAATTGAAAACTTCACTTGGGAACTGAGATGTACTAAGGCCTTTTAAAACTGTCCATTGCCTTCAACCGGTTGTTTTCTCGCGCGTAAAATACTCATTTAAGACCCTGTTTTCGAAGAGAATGTCCAGCGAAGCGATCATTCACTTGACACCCATCCATGTTTACTACACCAAAACACACCTTTCCTTATTTCATCCCAACAACCACCTCCCTCAAATGTACCATTCCTAAAAACAAGCTTAGACTTCCTGTCTCCGTTCACGACACTCACAAGTGTTTTGGGTTTCTAAAGTGGTTCTTGACTTGAGAGAATTCATTCAGCTCCCACGCCCTCTCTTATACCATGACGCTTCTGTCTCGTCGATCGTACGTGAGCTTTGAGGTAGTTGGAGTGTCTGTAACTCATGACAAACATACCGAATCGATAATAGTTTTCTAAAATGGATGTATTTAAGAGTGTCTATATTCCTGCAGGAATTTTGGTAGCTTAGTTTGATTTTTAAATCTCCAGTCAACAAACTATAACATTGGCTAAACTGTCTTAGACCTGAACAAATCCCTTGGTTACCTTGTCAAGCCAGTCGTGATAAATATCTCACTTACTCTTTCATTCGCACTTAGCAAAACCACCCACTACTTACAAATACCGATAGCTATTCGCAGAACCTAGTATTGTAAGTCTATAAATCGAACGTGTGGGTGAAAACTTCAGACATAGTTCAGTGAGAGCAAAGATTCGTCTAAGGTATATCATGCAGTTACGTAAAGCCCAAGACATTACTTTGAAGTTGTTCGTGGGGAACAGAACACCCTGTGGTCCAGTTTTTTTTTTTAAATTGTACATGAGGTGAAAAATTTCGCAAGGCAAAATTATCCTTCTGTTCAGATTAAGTAGAAAGCTTTAGCTTGCATCTAATCAACGGGGTGACTATGAGAAAGTCAATGAATACCAGATTACACAAGGGCGTCTGTGTTAAAATTGGCAACAACACTGACAACTTATATTAATTTTACAGGCAATATAAACAATGTATGATTGCAAAAGTCAATCGGCAATCCTTCTAAACATTCAACAAACCCGGTCCTATACTCTAAAAGAAATGAGTTTCGCAAGGTTTTTCATATGTGTTGTAATATTTACATGTTAGCCCACACTGTTTTGAAATGAGCGAAGGATGGCAAAATTACTCTTTAAAGCACGAATCGTTACCTTACGCGCTTTTATCTAACACAATTTCTGGTGCGTTCTTCGCAAAATTTTCCAGAGCTTTTAGATTTTGCCAGCAAATAACATGTTTCTCGTGAAAAAAAACTTATTTCAGAAATTAGGAGGATCGTTTCTTCAGACAGAAACATCTATGAAAGAACTTTGTAGGCGGACTAAGAACTGATGAAATCTTTTTTTTCCGCCTCACTTAAGATCCCGAAATAAGCTTGATATTTTGATCGATTTTGTATTTTTGTCAGCATAAAAACATCTTCTGTGCTCTCAAGAAAATCAGTTCAAATTAAATTAGGAAACTAAGTTTTTAAAGTGGATTTTAAATAGCACTTCTGCGAAGAGGGAACCTTGGAGGTCTCAAAGACAAAATTCTTTACGCTTTACTAAAGATACCAGAAATAAAGTTGCGTTGACTGCGTGCGACTACTTAGATGTGAAGGAAGCCAATACGGTACTAGGGATTCCATAGTAATTTCCAGCTGTTGATCAATTACAATGGAATGCTCTATACTTTAGTTCACTTATCACGAATGGTGAGTCACATCTCAACCCTTTCTGCGGCATCAAATCATCGAAAAAACGCTCAACCGGGAAATGTTTTCAATGAAAACTGACTGCGCCCAAAGCACAAGCTTTGTACAATGACGAGAAGACCTAGAAGTAATTTAGTGACCTTAATGCGCCCACACAAACTATATTTAAGCGTATTTGGACCACTGGAATAGTATTGCTGTCATACTTCCTCAAACAGCGCTCGAAAACAGACGTCATACTTTAAATAACTTACGTCAGTAGCCAGCCAAGTAGTTTGAAGGCGTGATAATGAAGCATGGAAAATTTTATAATAACCAAACATAACAAAGACAACATAACGGCTCCAAGAGTGATACAAAAAACTCTCTCAAATAGAAGTGCATAATTATATCCGTGGGGTAAACCGACGAGGTGCGATACGGTCCGAAATGTAAAATGTCCGGTGGGGGATGATTTGATGGTAGCCCTTTTTCTTGCATTCTTACTATTACTGAGCTCAACAATGTCTGTCTTCATACCAGGGTTTTTATGAGCCATGACTCTTTTCCATACTCTTCCTAACAAATAAAATATCGTCTGTTACGTCAAAGTTTTAAACCCAGGTCTTGCAATTTGTAACATAGGGGATTGTTACAACGTGGGTAAAGTCTCTGTTCCATGCATATATATCAGTACTACTACTGTGTTGACTTAATGATGCCTTCAGCTATAACCCCTATAAGCTCTGAAGGGGGATGCTTGCCTGATTTTATCCTGGTTTGATCACAACCTTTGCCTTGGGAAAGAATAAATTAACCTCATATTGATCGAAACGCGTAATTTCCAACCACAAAAAAAAAATTTAAAAAAATAGCAACACGTTTGCGTATAACTGTATTGTCCCAGGTCAAGTTCGTGGGAAAAAAGGAAATCAGAACTTTATCCGCAATTTACTGAAACAAACAATGAAAACGTTTTCATTTTAAAATAAGTGTTTTTTTGTCCGTGCGGCTTAAACATTTCATTTACAGTTTCTGCACAAGTCATGATGACTGATCATTACGGAGACGGACGCATTCGCTTGAGAGATTTTCTTTTACGATGATTTCGAAAGGATTCTTTTATAGAAAAAAACTAAACAATTTCAGAGTAATATAATACAAAATTTTGCTACAAATCTGTCAGAGACGGGCTGGTATTCAATTCAAGATTGCGGCCCTTTTTAAGTCAAGAGTATGAAATTTGTCGGTATTATCTTTCGGCGCCCTCACCTGAAATCTGGAAACAAATTATTTCTAGTATGTTTGTAATCCGTTTTAACGCCTGAGACTTCACCGTTTTTTTTTGTTGTTTTTTTTTTTGAGCAATTACATTCATTAGTGCCGGGTATTACAGAGACTAAGTAAAGGCAATAACAGTTTGAAATCAACAGTACAGTGAAGTAAGTTCACGGCTCCATTTCCGCCACCTCTTTGCTTTTCTCTAACACATTTTAGAGCGACTAATGTTTTGTCTTCTGGCGCCACATCGAAGCTAATATATCATAACATTAATTTCGAGTTAATTGCAGGTTTTCTTCTTGTGTTAGATTAAGTTAAGTTATTGTCAAAAGAACTTCAAAGGCATGTTTTAAACTCGAATATGAATGGTTAGCTGGGTGGAACTATGTAAACGAAAACTTGTTGAAGAGAGACAAAGATTTTTTGCGTTTCAATTTACCGAAGGTGGCTCAATACACAATTGACAATCCAAAAAATCTATTCATTGCCGCGTTTGTGGCGCCAATAGTCTTAAGCTTTACTGGAACGAATCGATATTCCAGCTCAATAAATCACGCCTTCTCGCTTGGAGCCGACTGCTGACTAAAACAGGTTTCATAAACAAAGCAAAGGTGACTTAATTGTCTAATTTGGACAGTGGTTTTTGTCGGCAGAAGCATACGTGGAGACAATATATATCACGGGTGAGCGAGAACAGTTTATATTCAAACAAGTGCTCTACTTCGACACTTGTGTCAGAAATTTCAAGGCTTGTTTTCTTCCCGCAAAGGAATCGTCATTGTATTACTGACGGGGTAAGCTGAGAAAGATTTCAACTATTAACTCTTCCCTTTCGAAAGAAATTCGAAGTTTTCATTACAACCAGACAGGTTAACACTTCAGCTTAATTTACGATTGCTTCAAATGATTATCTTTAAGAACTCGCTTTTCTATCTTTCAGATAAACGTCACGAAGAAAAGTCATCGTTTAAGAGTTGATTCAGAAAGGTAATTGACGCAGTCTGCGAGCCCTTCTTTTTTTATTACAATTGTGCATTATAACTGACTGCTAGAAGTTTTTGTTCCTTCCGCTCTTCTCGTAAACCACGAGTGTTCAACGTGGACCAAACAAACCAAACCTAACCATAAACAAATAACATTTTAATAGCTACAGTAGCAGAGGCGTGTGGCCGACCAAGATTATACATGTTGAAAGCGAAGTCAGTTTTATTTACTGTTGTAAACAAAGTTTCCTTCATTGTTCCGAATGTACACGACTATGTCAGAGTAGGCAGATTATTTTGGTTATGGAGTTTCCTCATGGATTAAAACGAAAGATATATTCTTTAAATTCTAATTGTGCATTTTAAGTGATTGTAGAAAGTACAGCAATATCACGCGAAATCACGAACGTTCTATTAGTAGAAACGCTAGTAGCAATACAAGTTAAATATAACATGAATTTGATTGAGCCTCAAAAGTGATTGACGTCTTCATTTTTTTCCTCATCAGATGGTAGTCAAAAGACTTGTCAACTTCAATTATTTCTGTTTGGTTACCCTCTTGATTTTGACGGATCTGTCGTTGCTGTTTTCATCTCCAGTTCCGTTTATGGAACTCCTTAACGGCAAAACAAGCGCACTTCCTAGAGAAGATAAAGGAGAACTTCCCTCTAGAGATCCAATTAGCTTGCTAGGGAACCAAGTCCTCCCGCGACGAAAAGTCGACGAGACCCCGACGCTTGATACAACGAAAAGCTTTTCAGCTGTTCAGAATAACTTATTCAACTTAAAGTCCACGAAACTGCAAAGGAACACCAACCTATCAACAGCAAGAAGACGTCAACAGTTGGAGCTCATGCAGTTGAGAGTTTCGCGTCCATCTTCCCCAAGCGACCTCAATTTAAAATCTGCAACCAAACAGCAAGCAAGAGGTGGTCTTCCTTTGCAGAGTTCATCGTCTAGTACGCAGAAGGAGCCATGGGAACGTCTCCCAATTAGGCCCAAGAAAGAAACGGTGGGGAAGAACGGAAATAATCCGGAAATAAGCGTCCAATTTAGCGGGAGCGGGGCCACAGAAGACTCAGTTGGAAAAAGGCCAGCGACCAGAAGGCCGGTGATATCAAACAGCAACAAAATGCTTATATCCAGTGGAGTTCCCCAAGTAAAATTAGGCAAGTTGAATATAAAAAGCGATTGGTGCGTGATACATCCCTTCAAAGACAGAGTGCATCATCGCGGCTGCCAGAGTGCAGAAATCAACAACAGCATGTGCTATGGACAATGCTATTCGTTTTTCATCCCAAAGAAATTTGTTTCCTGTTCATATTGCGCGCCCTCCTCACAGGAGACAATCAAAGTGCGACTGGAATGCCCCGGACAAAATCCCTCCTTTGTGATAAAGAAGGTTAAAATTGTGAAGGAATGTGCTTGCAAAGACTGTGGATTGTTAAAGCAGTAGAGAACTGTTAATCCACATCAAAAGTCGTTCCAACGAATGAAGAGAACACTTCATAACAGCTTTCCAGCCAGTTGACCGCCGTCGATCTTACCAAAAAAAGATACAAAAAGGAAAGATTTCCCAACAGTAATACGCTACAAGAAGACATCTGCTGAGTCGGCGGAGCGCAGTACACCAAGGAAAAATAAGTTAATTTTAATAAAGTTTTCAACAATGTAAAATACTATTCGTTACCTTATCGACGTAAACAAGATTTGTTAGCGACAAAGAACAGTAATGTATATTTACGAAAGGCAAAAGCTGCCATATTTAAACATGGAGATAAGTATCAAGGAAAACTTGATTTGTATCTATATATGAGCGACATGATTCGTAGTTTTGAGAAAACAACTAATTTACTTGTATAAAAATTGTTATAAATATATTATTCAGTTTGGAATGGAGATTAAATAGAGTAATATCGATACCCCTGGTGTCGGGATGTCAGAACTTTTGGTTTACAACGAGAATTGAAGGGAATTGGAGAGAATTGTTGCACATTTTTAACATAAGACCATGGACGTTGTTCAGAAAAAAAAAATTTTAGTGAAAGCTGGGCATGAAACATTTCCCGTAAGAGTGCAAACTTGACAGTTTAAGAGCGTTAAATGCTTGAGAAATATAGAGATTGGAGAGCCGTGTAATCATATTAAATTACAGCGTCTCAAACCTAATTGTCTGGCTTCATGTTTACAGCAGGTTAGGCTCTTTGTGGGCAACTACTCGACGAAACAATAGTGTAATTACATGATAAATGATTTTTGAAGAATAAAGCGAAACAATGGATAAAAAGGATAATGACAATGAATAATTTCAAACACATTCTTCTTTCTCTTAAACCCTTTTTGAGTCCTATAGTCGCCAAAGGATTCAACGCTTGCACAGTCACAAAAGCGCGTCATTTTCTAATTCAACGACTCCTTTGAGAGATGTAAACAACGTCAAATTAAATCCGCAAAGCTTAGAATCATTTCAGGTGAAACTACACAGAGCCTGAATATTGCTGGAGAATCTCTTTCGAAATTCTTGATCAACTTAACTCGCGTTGCGTCCAGTATACTGGAAGCATCTGAAATAAATCTTCAAAAACCATATCACAGTTACACAAGAAGCATCCGCTATTCAGCTAATTTAAGCCTAGAAAGCTAAGCCTATTGTGAAGGAAAACCAAAGTAAGCAGCATTTTTTACCTTTTGTCTTTGCCGCTATAAAATAGTTGTGAGGTTCCATGAAGTCTAAACGCCCTCTTTACGCCATTATTACAAGAAAGCCCTCTTTTGAAAGCAATGAGGGCGATATCACCTTATTAACACACTTGTGGCGCCGTCCTGTAGCACTTTTGTATAAGATTTGAATTATCACTTTATCAGGCACGCGAATGCCGGATTGCTAACAAACAAGCCAACACGACAACAAGTATGGAGCCATAAAGCGGACGCCGCACGGAATGGAAATTAGCTGATCGTCACACCGTGTGTTTATTGTCATACAAGTTCTACTGCTTTTTCAAAGAACGCGGGCGCATTTTTCAGGCTTTGCACCACGCTAGGAAGCAAATCTCGTCGCGAAATGATCCTAAAATGGTCCAAGAGTTTTGTTTAACAAATTGGCCATGCGGCGCCTTTCAGGTAAACAAATATAGTTTATGAACTCCGCCTATCCTACCCTCTCTCAATTACCACTTCTTTTAGGGTCAAGGCGCATGAACAAGTTGTTACGACAATTCGCCATAGTTGACATTCCAGCAGAAGCTTTTTGCGAAATATTTTTCCATGCGCAATAATTTTTTCTCCGAAAGAAGTCGAACAAATACAAATTGGTTTCAGTAAGAGAGTGATAAGACATCGATAAAATGCATATGGCTCTTGACGATTTTTTTTTACAAGCAGCACACTTGAGGCCGTTTTATAACCCTTTAACCTCCAAGATCTAATTGTTAATTCTCCTATCTGGCTGCCAAAAATAATCCAAAGTGAAAACAAAAAAAACTTCTTGAGGCGCGGGAAACGCGGGTGATCAGGTTTCGATTGATTCACAGTTGGGTTTTGCACTTGATTAGTTGAGAGGATTGTGCGAATTTTTTTGGACCAGTCACAGAGCGATGAAAAGTAAAAGCAAAACCAAAAAAATTGGCATCACTTTCGACTTTGCTCTCTCTTAATTATTTGACCTATCGACCAAAAAAAAAAAAACACACCGTTCTCCCTTATTTTAAGCACGACTGATTAAAGTTAAGCAATGCTTTAATTTTGTTGAATTTTAAAGAATTCCAAGCTATTCTAAGCGGTAATATAGAGGTAACAAGGGTGGCAAGTTGTGCCTGTCACCGCCTGAAAAGGTGAACACCAGGAATAGGCTTAGTATCAGACTTTAAACTTACAATAACATATCGTTTCAATGAAGTTCCCTTGTTCAAAGGCAAAAGGCAAAGAAGACCAATCTTTAGCCCTACTTCTCAAATCAATTCCTATAAAAACTGAGTTCATACACTTGGCCTTATTTGAAATATGGAAGTTATTTTAGATGGGTGGGGGAGGGGGGGGTTGGTCACAAAAAGTTCACCAGATCCCTCGTAGGGCTCTGTAGTATTCTTATGATCCCCTCTCATTCCCTTCCATTTCCCTCTAGTCCTAGTCCCCCTTTTCTACGACGACTAACCCCCCCTTCGTTTCCCCCCCCCAAAACCATATGATCCATCCCGCCCCCATCCCCCCCCCAAAAAAAAAAAAAAAAATCCTTTGGACCCCCCTCCCCTCTCCAGGCGATACATAATGATTGATTGGTAATTATCTCCCGAGCTTTAACCCTTTACACCCTAACATCAGTATGCATATTCTCCTTACTGTTCTCCATAAATTTCCAAAGAGGCTGATAAGGAGAGTTTGTTTCAAAATCAAGAGCTGCGTTAGTTGGTGATCAGCTCCTCTATTTTCATGACTTTCATGTTTGATTCAGGGGTGATATTGTAGGGAGAATTTGGATGCTAGTCACTCTTAGGGGCTAAAGGGTTGAGAGATAGTCGAATTAGTAGATTAGACAAATCGGGCCTGAATGTATATATATATATATATATATCCTATGAGACGTTTTGGTGTGTAGTATCGCAGTGTATGTTTATGAGTTGTACCGTATTTTACAAACAACAAACTCTGTCATTTCTCATTAGGCGGAAAAAGCAAAGCGGATAGAGTAGCGTAGCGCGCACAGCCGACTAGTTAAATAGGTTTTTTTTAGCCGTACAAAATAACCAATTGTCCAAATAACCAGAATATTTGTACTCTATCGCGCCTTATTTGTACTCTACTTTGTGCAGTTGGAGAATAAATGATCGTATTAATATTGAACAGAATTTTCCTGTATTGAATACCGAGACACAGCAATGAGACAAAGTAACGGGACAAGGATATCATACTTTGACAAGCCCTTATGTAATTTCTTTCAGGATATCCTGCACCCTTATTCATTTAATTTACTACTGTTTTTTAAGTTGATAAATTAACTTTGTAAATAGTGAGTGGGCCGAATAAAGATTGTCTAAAAATGAATAAATTAGTCGAGTGTTTTTCCCGGTGGGGGTTGACCACGTTGGCCGCGTGTAAGAATTTCTGTATGTGGCGATCTTGCGCTGTAAACTTATCGAATATTTTTCATAGAGTTATGCTTACACAATCATCAACATTAGGTAGCATCTTTGGATATTTTGATATTAGTACAAATCCCTAATAGCATATAGATTCCAAATAAAGAAAGCAGTGGTGCAGTTCCCTACCTTATGACGGAAGAGATTTCCGAAAGTACCTTCCGCATAATTTTGGACCTCGGCGTCCTTTTTCTGAGTTCTATTTCTCCTTCGATTTAATACAGATTAACAATGGCTGATGAAGGTTCTGAGCGTTGTGAAAAGGTCCACTGAAAAAAAAGTGATTGACTCAAGGGTCTTCACCCTTTCACACCCACGATCTCAATATAACCTCAAGAGTCAGAGGGTCAAGTACCTGACGAAAACTTCTTCAGGTATGCTAATATGTTAAAGGAATAAAACCGCCATGACTTGATAGACCCTTTCTCTCCTAAGATCTCATAACTAATTCTCCTTAATGTCTGCCTTAAAAATTCTTATGTTAGTTTTAAGAGTTTGATATTGGATCAACTACTAATCCTGTAAGTGTTATTTTTCTTTGTTCTCATCACTTGTCTGCTTGATATTGTAATGATATTGTAAGGAAAAAAAATCTGTCTTTGTCACTCATTGCTGTTAAAGGACCAATCGGCTTGAGACGTTCAAAACTGCCCTCGCCTCGAAGAAACTGAAGAGAAAACTCAACAGAAGCGCATATAAACCGCGATGATAAAAGGTGGCTAAGAATGGGAAAGATTAAAATTGGTTACAGAGTTTTGACGTCAATGACACTGATAAAAAGTCCACTCGAGCTGGGGCGGAAAGCAAAGGAAATTTTAAGAATGAAGTCCAATTTAATAAAGAAAATTAACCTTGATAAAAAGTATTTTGAGCCTCACTGGCATTCAAACGGAAGGCATAAACAATTTTTTCAGATTTTCAGCTTAAATTTCGTGTTTGCCTCAAGGTAAAACTTTGAGAAACAGAGCCAAAATTGAGAGTGATCACGATTTTATCTGATGACAGCTTGAATTTCCTGAACAACTTGACTGTGGGGTACTTCTGTCAATGAGTGGATCAAATTCAGTTTTTGATCACTTAAGATATCGGAAATGGTGAAAACACTATTCTGTTCTTTCGGAAAGCCGCCTTGTCACGTTTCTGTTCTCTGTACCACACAACTTTGTCGACTGTCCTACGCTTCTCCAAATCGAATCAGATTCGTGCCAAATGGATACTAAAAATTTGATTTTCTCTTGGAAGATAATTCTTATGCTGTGTACTATTGGCAAAACAACTTTGCAGCTGGAGAATTCTCTGATGCAAAATTCAACCTGTCCAACAAGTTGCTCGTGCAGCCCTTGTGAAACATCTTCGTTATCAGACCTCAAAGATGTACAGTGCAGAAATATCGATATTGAAGACTTGAGAGATTTTGACCTCGCAAACAAGATTTGCTCACTGTAAGTTCGCATAACTTTACCATTCTGTTTTATTTCTCTAACATGTACTGGACAGTTTAAGATTGGATTGGCTCAATTCATCTATTTGCTGACCAGTTCATGAGATGAACGTCAACATTTTCACGAAAAGTCGATCACTAACTCTGAACAATGTATGAATTCAGGTTGACTCAGTTGCAGAAAAATAACTTCTCTTTTTCGCTAATTTCGTTTTCTTTAACTAATCCTTTGGCGTTTTTTGTAGATATCAGAAACTTTATTTCGATGCTTTTAAGTTTATCGCCAAAAAAAAAGAAAAATTTGCTCATTTCCCAAACTGCAAGAGTCAATTTTCAAAGTTAACATAAATTTCTCACTAGAAGTGTCTTACAAAGAAATGAAATTAGTGGGGAATTGATTGAATAAAGGAAAGCTAGAGGCTTACCATTTTAATTTCACAAATTGAGCATCCACGTAAGCTTCCAGCGATAAGGAATAAAGCTGTTTTAATTAACAAATATGGCGAAATCTTCCTTGACGTTCGCGTCACATGTCAAAACGGTTACCTTCGATAATTTATTTGCCAGTGTTTTCATTCTAAAATAATGCTTGAAGGGTAAACGAAGGATTCCTTTGGGCTCTTACAACAAATATGCTCTAAGTAAGTCTAACTGCAATAGGAGAAAAGCCAGCATAAGTCTTCTTAATTACAATAATCATTTTGTATGGTAACGCTCAAGTTTCATTTCAATTCTGGCAGAAATAGTTCTGCTCTGACATATATTTGTCTTTTAATTAAAAATCTTCCACCTGCTTTGACTTATTCTCGTTAATTATCCTCTACATTGCCGATTCCTTCGGAAATACTATGTCATCTATCAACTTAATTACAAACCTCGAAGTTGGAACAATTTTACAGTTCAAATTCTACTCCAGAATTTGAAGGAATGTAAAAAAGTATGTGTTTGCCTTTTTTTTTTTGACACAGGATGGATGGTAACCTGATTAGAATTTAAAATGAGGCAAACTGATACTAAAACATACCTTTAAGTTTTAAACGCTTGCTTGGCTGGCGGCCATTTTGAAAATTACGTAGGGGAATCCATGGATTGAGCGGGGCCTTGTACCAAAAAACAATTTATGGGGATCTGGGACGGCCGGAAAATATCGGAAACTCCGATCACTCGTCAGCAATCCGGGATCAACTTCGGGTGGTTGCCGGAAGTTTCTTTATTTCAGACCTTACACAAAAACAACCCGTATTCGATCCAAAAGACAAAAAAAAGGTATTAGGGAATTTTAAGGTAGAAGCAAGTTTTGTCTCGGCTTTAGTGATGCGTGCATCTGACATCAACGCCTCTTGTGGTGACATTTGCAGGATTTTGTCTTCAGCTAAGAGGAACTAGGAGAAGTGACTCCATCATATCAAATAAAAAACAAAGTACTAATTTTTTTAAATCTCTTTCAGCGATGTATCATGGAATGATATCGAACGTATTTCGCCGTTGGCTTTTAATAATATGTCAACTGTTAAAAGCCTGTGAGTACCGAGTTCTCTTTCTGGGGCTAAAAATAGTTACTGAAAAAAATTAACCAAAGCAGGTATTCTTTGTCTTAGGGCCTGTTTACACGGAGGTGGAGGACCCCAGGTAGGTGAGGTAACCCGCCTAGCTGTGGTCGAAAAATAAAACGCGTTTACATACAATCTTACAACCCTGGGGTGCTGGGGTGAGGTTTCTTGAAGTTGTTGTTGCGTTTGCAATCAGGGAGTTTGAGCATAGGCGTCCCAAGCTCACGCCTCGGGAAAGACGTAAGATGAATTCTCAGACACGTATGTATTTATTCATGAAAGCGTCACGAGTTGTGTTACGAGGTGTTAGGTTACGCGAGGAACTACGTTATAAGGAATAGTTTGAAACATAGTGGATTTCTAACGCTAAATATTCCGAAATGTGAACATTTTACGCTCCTTGTATGTCCGTTGCAGTTTCTGGTAATTTCTGCCATGAGACGGCTAGGAAATGTACAAAGTTTTAAAACATACGTATTTCGCTTTTGAGCTTTTTGCCATTTTGGGATTGTATGATACAACTGGTCATTGAAAACCCACAAAAATGCCTGATGCTATTATTTTTTCTAGGTTTTTAGATCACAATAAAATAGAAATCATTGCGGAGGAGACGCTCAATGGACTCACACGACTGCAGTATCTGTAAGTTTCTACCAAATAATGCGCAGATATTGTCAACTTATTTACTTCACCGTTATTGAAATTTTATGGATATATCAAGCAATAAGGGTCTTCACAGCGAATCCCTGATAACGAGGTTCTTCGTACCCATGACGCCCTTGTAATGACACGACGTTCCATTTTTATTCCATCATCATTTATCGCCTAAAGGGGGAAGGGAAGGAGAGTCTGACGATTTTGGCCGTAATAAGATATACCTGAACCTACCCCTGAGGCTCTGTGATATTCTTCTTATTCCCTTTATTGGCAGTTAATCGCTAGTTATTTCTTCTTTAGTTCCCACTCTATACTCTGATTAGGACGACTGACCTCCCCCCTCCCTCCTTCTTATTATCCCCCCAACCCCCCCCCCATCGGTCCCTAAGAAAGACCTATACAGGGGGGTACGATTCCTTGGCCTAACCCTTACACTCCTGCGCGAAATACATGTAAGTAATTTCTCCTAACAGTATAAATAAACCAAGGAGATATCGTTTGATTTGACAACAAATTCGCAGAGCTGAAATCGTAAGAGATGTTGAGCAGACAGCTAGTGCAGAGAAGTGATATCTGGATCCAAAGGGTGGAGGGATTAAATTCCTCTTGTATATCTCTGTTAAATTGGATGTGAACATGAATTCTCCCTACTATCTGCCATACAATCCTTATAATGTTGGTTCGGAGAATTGACTGGCTTTGGGTCAACTTATAATCTCTGAGCTTTCTCATCACTCGTCTGCTTGATATTGTATTGACGGTATGCGCAGAAATTTTTGTAGGGAGAAATTCTATCTTGGTCATTCACGGGAGCTAAGGGTTAAGTTCTCTTGTGTCACAGGCAAGGATAAGGACGATCAAATGCAATTCATAAAGTTTTTCATGTTCATCACCCAGGACTTTGGCCTACAATAATCTCAAGAAGTGGCATGGTACTCTCTTCAAAATTCTTCCAAAACTTGAGTTCCTTGACGTCACAGGAAACGGGCACTTCAACATAATGAAAAACAAGTTGCTACTGACCGACTCCTCCCTTAAGACAATCGTTGGTGCTACAACATCAAAAGACTGTAGACGGTGCAATTTCACCAGAACCGATGTCCCGCGAAATTTGCTGACGAAAACCAAAGGCTGTGAATTCATACCTCCATACAACATGCCAAAAATAGATCACTTCCAGAAGAAATACTTATATTTTAACGGAGCTTGCGAGGGTAAATCTTGCCCGTTAAATCTTGTGCCTATGTGGATAGTACGGAAAACTCATAAAAATTTTTGTTATGACAAGGCGCGGTCGCTTAGGGCGATTGAATATTTTCTAGGCGTGGTTGCATTGTTGTTCAATTTGGTTATCATAGCAACAATACTCAGTAGCATCTCTTTGATCAAGAAGACTTCAATGTTTCTTACAGCGCACTTGGCGCTCGGCGATCTGTTCTTGAGTTTGTTCTCCTTAACGATAGCCGCTGGTCACGGGATAAAGTCCGATGCTGGGATTCGCCAATGGAGACAGCACCAATGTCCTTACTTCCGTTCTTTGATGATAATAGGACAAACGATCGAAGCGTTAACTTCGGTCTTGATGACTGTGGAGCGGTATCTTGCCATAGTATACTGCATGCGACCTAATTTACGAATCACTCCCAAAGTAGCTGGCTTCCTATGCGTTCTCATTTGGCTTTTTTGCGCGATGTCTTGCTTCGTTATTGAGTATTTTGATCATGTCTGGTTTCGAGACAATTACATGTGCGTTTTAGTGCAAAATCTGCAAACAACGAAACGCTTTATGGCCACCCAGGTACTAATGTTACTATTTGTGGCTTTGTATCTTGCAGTTGTTGGTTTGTACCTTCACATATTCATCTCCGCGCGAAAGTCGGCTCGCGGCGCTGGAATTCGACGCGAAACATCTCTTGCTAAACGAATCTGTGTCATAGTGTTTTCTAACATGATATTCTATGCAGTGCCCAATCTTTGCATAGTGATATTTGCCTTAGCAAATACCAGACTGGCATCTGACCGAGCGGTAAATTTTATATTGCGTATATGGTTGCCTCCAATGTGTATGATAACGAACGCCTGTCTAAATCCGTTTCTATTTGCCTTCAGAAACGAAGAATTCTTAAGACATCTTAAACAAAGAGCAACGAACATCATTTCAGGACTATACTTGACAAAACAGCTTCCCTTTTCAAAACGTCTTGGGAAAAGAGGAGTGTATGTTGTTAAATGCGATCAATCTTCTTCACAAGGAACTCTTAATGAGTCCTTTGAGCTACACACAGCGTAAAACGTATATGACTGCTATTCAACTTTTTTTTAATATTTCAGGGGAATGTTGCAATTAAGTGTTAAGACTTCACATAAGTCAGCATCTATATCTCAGTACATCAGTGGCGATTTTTCTTGGTTTTGTATTTCATTGGTCTAGTGGGTGCCCCGAGTTGCCCTGAGTTGCCCTCACCTATCGTAGATGTCGGTCGAGCAAAAGCAATGAAATACTTGGATTACTTTCGCCATGTGACTGGTTGAATAGAGGGACGTTAGAGCAGTTTTCAATTGACCGTCGAAAATCCAAAACCAAAGCACTCTTAACGGCCAATCATAACAAAGGTTTATGTCATCATTAGCCAATGAACATTCAAAGTAAACAGGTCACCTATCAAAAACGCGGGAAAACGAGGAAAAACGCGGGCAACCAAGTCATGATTGGTTTACGTTTTGCGTCTGAATGGTTTAGAAGATAGCAGGAGTTTGAAGAGAAATAACAGACTGAAGCAATGAAATCCAATCCCGGATTTCTTTCGATACTCAATTAGAAATTGCTCTATATAAACCAATCATCGATCGATGTAGGGCAAAACTAATCCAAATCCGAATTACTTTTGCCACTGATTTGAAAAAATGTTCTTATTCCTTAGCAATAACTAGGGAAGACTAGTTTGTTTATGTCGTCAGTAAAAGTTTCCGAAGTCCTTTGCACTTCTTTCTTTGAGTTCTCCAATCGAAGAATAAAAGAGATCGCACAATCATTAAAATAAATTGCGGTGGGCGGCTGGGCGGAAGTTTACTGTTATCTACTTTACAAATATCATCAGAGTAAACATTTTAAAATTGAGAATGATTTTATTCGCTGTAGTAAAAAAATTATACCTGCCGAAATTATTGTTTTATAAATTGTTAAATGTTTAAAACACCACCTGTCTGTCTGCTACATTAAAACAATGGATATGCCACTGAGTCAGTCTTTCTCACGCAGTGATATATCAAAACGACAAAGAATTTATTGACAACCCATCTAAGGCAGATAGCGTAATTAGTCTGAACAAAAATAGTGATGCATACCGAGCAAATCACACGCCGAAGTATGGTTGTTTCACCTACGAACACACCTAAATATAAGTGGATTATAGAACTGATCCAAGCTGAAATTCTACATCCACTCGGATAAAATTGATCTCGATTAAAATTAATGGCATTAATTTCCCAGGTTTGTGAATTAAATGACTGCGGACACTCGATGTTTTAACTGAGGCTTGTAACAAATGGAACTACTTTTATTCTAAACATTTCAATTTACGATTGAAACCGTTGCTCACTGTTATCTTAATAAGCACAGTGTTTATTTTGGACCTCTCTGACTATTTGGATTGCCAAACAATTAGGATGCCACTGGCTCGTAATCATAACAGCATTATGCAAATTCGTGACGAACGTATCTAAACCAACAGTTTTCAACCTTAGCGAAAATACACAGTAAATCAGACACAAGCCACTCGCTGCAACTGCAAGCCAAATCAATCAAGATCATATGGCCGTTAACGTAATAAGCACAGTGTTCATTTTGAACCTCTCTGACTATTTGGATTGCCACTGGCTCGAAATCACAACAAAATTATGCAAACTTGTGACGAACGCATCTAAACCAACAAATTTTAATCTTAGCGAAAATACACAGTAAATCAGACACAAGCCGCTACTAGTCAAATCAATCAAGACCATATGGCCGTTTGGATCATCCTTTAAAAATAAGTTGTTTAGGTAATGAAATGATTGCACCCGCGAGATTTACAGAGGGTCTGCAAGCGGGGGTGCTGATGTCGGTTTTCGGTTAGAATTTCAGTACTTTACCGGTGTTCGGTTAAAATTTTCGGTCTTTGCCAATAGTCGACAAATCTTAGTAAATGACTTTAAATTCTAGTTAATTTTTCAAAGTCATTCGGCTCGAGCAGCGCACGCTGTTCTAGAAATTAGCCCGACTGGTACTTGGCCATAAAGTAAGTTTGATAACAGGAAATTCTGGATGTTAAATTTAAAGTGGCTACCTTCTAAACTTTAGAATGATCGTATTTTTTAATACAAATATCGCTGATGTTAGACCATGTAAGTTATTGTTAAGTATTTACTTGTCGCTTGTCGAATTTTTTGGAGAGTTTTGTCGGTTGTCAGTTATATTTTTCGCCCTTTGTCGCTAATCGGTTAACCCTATTCAGACTCTCTTCGCATATTATTCGTTCGGGTTGTTATTTACAAGACTTCGAATAGTCTCTTGTTTAAACAGTAATTCATAGCTATTCTGTACCTGGATTAGCAGCTTCTGCTCCCTCTCGACTGTCTGACATCGATATGTTTTCGAAAGTTTTTGAGAGATCTTGCCGAACCTCTTTAGGAGGAGGAAGAAAGACAAGAACACCTACAACAGGATCGTGATCCAACAAATCTGTCGCTTTGGTTTCTTCAGTTGCTTCACTTGCTTTGGTTGTTCCGGTTGCCCCGCTTGCGGTTGCATCGGTCTTCTTCGTTATTTCACTAGCCAGTGATTTGTGGACTGTTTTGTAGTCTTCTTTAGTTAGGTCACTGCTTTTATCATTTTCATTTCCGAACACGAAGGCTCTTGTCCAAGAGACTTTGATGACAGCCTTGTCCGGGTACCAAAGAAAGTTATCCTTGTTCGGTATAAATCTGGCCGATTTTTTCTGCTTCTCTTGAGACCGAGGGGATGATTCAAAAGATGCGATGACCACATCTCTAGGGGGTTCGACTTCTTGAGTATCAAAATTGAAATCCCCACCGACGATGTAAGAGCGTATACGTCGTAATTTAATCACCTTATCAAGAAACTCCGCGAGACTCTGGAAAATCTCAGATCTTTCCTTTTTGGTTTTACCGATGTAGGGTCCGTGAAACGAAACTGCCAGAATACTCTCGTTACGTTCCTGCCCAAGAGGCGTCAGTTTGACCATCGAAATTCTAGACAGCAGCTCGCTTGCATGGCCTTTCTTATCCGACAATTCAGTTAATTCAGGGTTATCGGTCTCTAATCCCTCGGATGAGCCGTCAAAATGTTTGCTATCCCACATCACAGCTGCTTCAGGTTTGTTTTCTCTGTATTCGTACCCCTTTGGAACAACTTCTGTCTTAAATTTTCCTGGTAGTTCTTGGCAGAAAATTATTGCAGTTAAGGCGGAACGCAAAATAACTGACAACAGATCCCTCCGTTTCTGTGCACTTCCCTTTACATGGTGGTTACTACTCATGTTTATGGTCATGATAAAGTACGATGGATTCTCCGATGTTTTCAGACGTCCTTGAAGGGTCGATTCCTTTATGTTTCTCACGATCTCTTCTGCATTTTCACCTTCTTCAATCTGTTGCATAAGGTTGTCAAACACTCCTTCATATATCGTTGGATCATCCATTTCTCTCGATATTTTTTTGCAGTCACAGTTTTCGAATTAAAGGCGCAGCTTCTCACTTAGAATCAGCCACTCTTGTTTGCGATCTCTTTCACGTTCAGACAAGAACTGGTATCCGCGGGCATTTGGGGTATATTAAACTTTGCTGGGCAAAGCGACAATGACTGGGAGATTGAAAAGTCTCCACATGACTACTTTCTCGATGCATATGTTATAAATTACTCACCAACAACAACCTCACTGAAGATTAGTACTTTTACATCACGAAGTGATGACGTAAGAGTTATTGGATTTTTCAAAACGCGCTTACCCCTGTGTCAGCCTGCTCCTGTAGTATGACATATTTCACGTAATCACTTGAATTCTGGGGGGTAGTAGAGAGGTTGCTTTAGTCACGTTCGATCGGTTTTTTCGCTAGACGCGTACAGGATAGTTTGTAGCCCTGTGAATGCAGTAGTTGGTTTATGCCTACGCATATTCATATTTATCTCTGCGCGTATGTTGGTTCTCAGCGCCGGAATTCGACGCGAAACATCTCTTGCCAAACGAATCAGCGTCGTCGTGCTTTCAGTGCCTAATCTCTTTATGGTGATATTTTCCCCTAGTGAAAAAAAGACTGGCATGTGATCGTGCGGGAGTTCGATGAGCGCCTCACTCAACCCTATTTCTTTTTATCCACTGATTTTCTTGACTCTTGAGACGGACTTCACCGAAAGAGACGGACTGCTCGTAGTCTAATGTCTCCCTTAACCATCTACACCCTAACATCAGTATGCATATTCTCCATACTGTTCTCTATACATTTCCTGAAGCGCTGACGAGGAGAATTGGTTTAAAAATCAAGAGCTTTATAAGTTTAATTTCAAGTTATTGGAGAGTTTTAACTAGCTCTGAAGCGCATTTATTGGTTTAGGTTCGGTCGTCATGGTGATGCTCGTCTGAAGACAAAAATGGCCTCTTCTTTTGAGTAAAGTTTCGTGGAATAATCGAAAGAACTCTTTAAGAAAATTTTAGCTTCTTTAAACTGCTCAGTGCAGTATAAGAGAACATCGCTTGCATTATGTGTGAAGAATCTGGCCGGAACGTATTTATTTTTCTTGAAATATTACTCGCATTGCATCTCTTATCACGTTTGAAAAATTCGTTAAAGGATACGGCCAATCCCATATGCAACCAGCTCCTTGCTTCTTTATACCAGCAAAGTTCGACACAAGCTCTGGCTCCTGAAAAGGAGAGAATAATTTTTGGTGCGAGGTAATTTATCACTGTTAAGGTATAAACGTATTGATAAAATGGATTTAATTTGTCATTTAGCTGGGAACAAAAATTGTGATAATGAAGGAAATTTGAACTTGCGGAAGAACTGAAAATGAACAATAAGGAGCCAATACAAAGCGGCTACCAATTAACCTTCAATTGATGATGATAACGATGAATTTATCTCGCGTATTCTTCATTTTAATGTGCTGTTATGCGCTTTTCAGCACTTTTCGGGGAAGTTTTCGGGCAAACTGCATCGAGCAGTTTACAACTTTTGAAAGAGAATTTCAGTTCAGTTCAGTTCAAGTTTCTCGGTTTACATTTGAGTCAAGAGACTCTCCAAAAACCCTTTTACACCTGGGTTATGTTTTCCGAAGTATCCTAAATTTCAGCGGGAGATCCTATTTCAACTCAACTTTGTTTACAATCGCAATTCAAGAGAGTTTATCTGTGCATTTTGTTTGCTTTAAAATATGTAAGCTGTAGCTTGGCTATAATCAGATCAAGTTTGTTTGGTTTACATTTAGGTCGAAAGACTTTCCAAAATTCCTTTTACACCTGGGTTACGGTTTCCAAAATGTCACACTGGAATATAAAATCCCATGAGTTATTGAGAAAAATGTATAAAGCAAAGCAAAGCCAGGACCGAAAAAGGTTAAAACTTGTGAATGTTCTGATAACAAAAGAAACGTCGTGCTGAGAGTGACAAGGGTTAGTCGTTTGCCTATCCTTTAAACAAGTGCATCGGAAAAACATGCTTTTTTCTTTTATTCTTTTTGGTTTATTACATACATGTAATTGTCTATTGAGAACATTCTCGTAGAGGCTCACTGGAAAAAATATTATTGGGAAAGTACTACTTTCTCGCGAATTTCCATTTTGCCTGTTGTGAAAGCCAGGGGTTCTACTATTTTGTTGGCTGGTGGTTTACAGCGTGAGCCTGGTGTTGACATAACTGTCCGAAAAGGTGTAAAATATTTAGAAGACCAAAACAGGCGATACGGCCGAGACAAAATGCCTCCTCTTCTCTGTAGAATTCTCAAATTGCGTGAAAGTTCCTCCGAACAGGTATTGAACGATAAGGAACAAAAAGGTGTTCGCGTAAATATTTTCCTTTTGGCTGCCTCAAAAAGTTATCCGTTTGCAAATGTTTCAATTTATACTGGACTTTGACAGGTCTACGGGTACCAACAGCTCTCTCTTACCGAAAATGACTTTCATACTAAAAATGACCAAATTTACAATATTTTCAAGTGCAAAAGGAAAATACTTTTCACTGCACAAAGTATCGTTCATTTTAGGTGGAAATTGTAGATACATCTTTAATCTCTAAAACATTGTGCGTTGATTTACAGCTAAGCACTTCTAAAACTCAGAAAACTGAGTTTTACGAAGCCTAGTAGGCCAATTTTGGCTCATATGGCGTTAACGAAGGAACATTAGAACTTCAAGGGAAGTAATGTGTGTGAGAGAGAGGCCAATGATCTGTTTCGCAATGACCATGCGGATAGCAAGTTTTCCTGAAATCAGCAGGAGGTTGTTCATCTGTTGTTACAAAACACTGGTCAAATTTTCCACTCATCCCGACCCCCCTTGAATGAGTACTTTTGCTTAAAGACAGAACTACAACGGAGTCTCTTAACCAGTCCCAAGCCGCGTGTTGCTCGATAGATCACAAGATATGATTGGGTACTGTATCTCATTACGTCAGAGGACATATCAACAATAAGGGGGCATAAGTAAAACGGTACAACATCCCTCCTGTTTTCAACCCGACCCAAACCTCCCTCTTGTTTTCTACCCGACCCAAACCTCTCTCCTGTTTTCTACCCAACCCAAACCTCTTTCCTGTTTTCGACCCGAGTCAAACCTCCTTTCCGTTTTCTACCCGACCCAAACCTACCTGAAACAGATCAACAAGAAAGGAAAACAAACCAGCAGACACACCAACCAAAAAGAAAAATATACAATCCTAACTCAGGGCTTCAAACAACCGCTAATAAGACAATTAAACTCAAAAATACTCTTACGAACGACAGATGAGTGAATAGACTTGGTTAGATGGTAAATTTTTTATGGTAATTTTTTTTCTTTTTTTAAATATTCTTTGCAGGCGGGATGGAGGCAGGACTTGTCTTGTCTGCAGTCATTTCTCTTTTGATGTTGCTTCAATTCATGAAATGCCATCGATTAGTTTTCATCTTAATTTGGAAACGCTGAAGCTTCTCCTGAGTCAGTTATCGTGTTTTCAATTTTTTTATTATTATCCAGAGAACGCAAATTTGGGTCATTTCACGTTGTTGTTCTGCAGATTTGCGCCAAGAAATTTGCAAAGATTTTTTACCCACGGGCAAAGCCGTTGTTCTGCTTGTTAAACGTTTTTGTGTCGTGTCGTTCCCGTCGCTGTCGCTGTCGTTGTCGTGGTTTTCTTAAACTCCCTATTCAAAAGTGCGCTCTATTTTTTTTGTTACTGGTCGTTTCCAGGACCATTCGTACCCAGTCGGTTGAGTTGTTTCGCACCCTTACTAAAAAGGATGTTTTCCATGTTAAGTATGTTAAACGTAAGGTTGATTTGTGACGTTACATAGGAATAGCTAGGTAAGTTTATTTGTACTGAAAACTAGTTCAGATTTTTAGGTTGAGAAGGCGACTTTTCATTTCCATACAAGTCCTTATATTTCGCCCACTGCACAAAGTCAACATGTTTGCATACTAACGGTGGCTGTTTGGAAACTTGAGCTGCTTTTGCCCAAACTGGGTACGAACTGTCCGAATTTAGTTACGAAACGACCGTTGGTACGAAAGGACTGGATACAATATTTTGAATGAAATTGTGATCATGGTAAAGAAAATAATAACGATGATGATAATGATGATAACAATAATTAAAAATGATGATACTTCTAATGATATAAAGGATGATGAAGATACAGATAACCGCTATGATTCGATTTAGCGCCTTCATTCCATTAAGCGTCTCGTCCAGCTTGTGAGCGCCCCCTCGATTCTGTTTTTGGTAATAATCGCCAGCGCCCCTACTGAGTAAGCACCCCCATACCGAAAACACACTCTGTTAGAATGTGCGGACATTGAGATCAACCGTAGTTCATCTTTCTTCAATTGTTCACTTAACCCTTTAACCCCTGAGAGTGACTAACATCTAATTTGATGATAATTTGATGACGATAGCTCGAGATCGATCCATAGAATCAACCAGTAGAAATTACAAGCGGAGAGGAAACAGCGATACAACGAAAGTCCCGTGATATTAGCGAGTTAAGCAGTTCCTAGGCGAGAATTTGATTGTCGAAAAAGGAAAGTTGTTTTGCAGTGAATGTAGAGAAATCATTTCCTCCAAGAAAAGTGTTCTGAAAATCCATATTTCGTCCAAGAAGCATCAAAACGGGAAAGAGAAGTTGAAAAAGTCGAAATTGAAAGACCAGACCATAATCGAGGCATTCAGAAGAGAAGGAAGTTCAAAAGATAGCACGTTGCACGTGGAAGAATGTGCCTACAGACTCGAAGTTGTCAGTGAGTTTTTGAAGGCGGGTATCCCGATCGGTAAAATAGACATGCTACGGTCAGCTCTGTTGGAGAAGAACAGCTACAACTTCAAGCAATACTTTCTGACCCACAGCGACTAATGAACTTAAAGCTTGAGCTTGCCGGTACTATTGATGTTGGCGAACATTTTGTGAAAGCCACGTATTTTTTGGAAGGGGATGGTCCTTTGGTTTTTGCTTGTTATGAGAAACTAAGCACCGTTTCCCAACTTTGTTAAGCTCCTTGTTTCCTTAACGTCTGTGCAATTGCAGCTGCAATTTCGGAGGAAGACCCATGTCAGAACGTAACAGCACTTGAACGGAGTGCGAAAGCTTGTTTTGAGCCGGCAATTACGTGGTTTCTGAGAAAGTTCAATGTCGATCTTTATGATGTAGTGGTAGCATACAAGACTGCCAGAATATTCTGCCTTGGTAGGATCCAGTGGCTTAAGCCCACAAATGCATTAGTGGAGTCTCTGAGAGCATTTCCTTTCCTGGATAGTAATACTACCATCGACGGTCTCAGAGCCGAGCTTCCCGCCTATTTGGCTGCCGCTGAAGATGTAGTTATTCCGACTGACGAGAAAAAAGTCGAATGTCTCATTATTTTGAGAATCGAGCATAACTTGAGATTTTTTTTTGGCGTAAAGCGGAATTTCTAGGAGCATAAAATGCCAGTTTTAGTAGCATAATCGGGAAAGGCCTAAAAGTGACAACGCATAAGAGGAAAAAATTCGGGAATTTTTCAACCGACCACTTAATACAGGTTCGACTATTAATTCCGAATTAGCCAATGAGCCCACGCGAAGAGCTCTATTCACCAGTGTGGTATGTACTAAAAACCGCTATAAGGTGGGTAAATGGAATAGAGTTATGAAGCGCGAAGAGAAAATCTAGGAAGATGAAAGAAGCCTAAGTTCAGCAATTACTCAGGGAAATTCTTATCTTTACCATCTGAAACCGTAGCACTAAGATTCCAAGAAGACGTCCCGTAACCACGTAGCCGTTTGCACTCCCAGCCCGAAGGGATAAACGGAACCTCGACACACCCTTCCCCCCTTCCCATGGATCTTTTTTTTAAAATGATTGTAATATATGCTATTGTCAGTAGAGATATTCTGCTGAAACATTTACGTTGTCGCAGTTTTTTAGATGAGGGGTGAAGTTAAAATATCAGGGCTTACTGACTTTTTGGATCCGGGACAAGGTACTAATGAGGGAAGGAAATTTATCCCTGCTTGCCTTGACATCGGTGGATATCTCGTAAGATATATATATATATATTTGCGTGAGCTTTATTAAGTATCTCAGATTGAACATAAAAGGAATGCGTAGCGTCAACGCTCTCCCCATGCCCGTCCCTCCCAGGTTAATCCTTGCCTCCGAGATTTTTCCACGGCTTGTTTTTCCCTAAAAGGTCTAATTCCAAATTCGAGTTGAAAAAGCCACCCACTTAAACCGTTTTCATTTCACATCTTGCATGTCACCCAGTCGCCGGTCTCTATGAGGTTAACCGTTAGCCGTATATCGGTCAAAAAACTAGCTGTTGGGCGTAAAAATTGACAAATTTTAAACCTTAGTTGTAGCAAAAATTAACCTTAAAAACCATTCCTTCCTACAAATGTGCTATTCCGAGTTAACCGCAGCAGAAAAATGGCCACAATTTTAACCGTTAGCCGTAAGAAGTTCTCCTCGGTCGGTCTTCTTCAGTTTTAAGTAAGTTAAGCTGTTTTAGTTAAGTTTGCAATCGTGGAAAAAAAAATTCATCAATATTTTCTACACTCGAGGAACCACTCAGACCTAGGGTACCTCCCATGATGAGGACTCTTTCTATAAAGGGAATAAAGCACCATCTCCCAAAGTGAAAGGTAATTTCTTTCTTCTTGCCTTCTCAAAGATATATGACAAAGCATCATGCATCATTAGAAGCGCGTCGCGTGACATCCTAAGGAACGGCTGCCAATGAAACTAGCAGTTATAAAATCTGAAAAAAATCGAGGTTTGTATCTCATTTAATAAATCTATCCAAGGAAATGGGCAAAAGTTGTGCGAATTAGACATAGGTGTGCTCACTACTTCAAACGACAAGATGTGACAAAACATCATATCTGTCACATAACGTGCTAAAGGAGTGCGTCGCGTGACATCCTAAGAAACGGCTGTCAATGATCGATACTAGCAGTTATAGAGTCAGAAAATGTCAAAGTTTATCTCTCATTCAATAAACTTATTGAAAGAAATGGGCAAAAGTTATTAAGCGAATAAGACATAGACGCACTCACTACTTCAAACGACAAGAAATGGCTTATGCAGGTTGATGCAGAAATTTTCTTCCCTTTGTTATTGATTTCCTCTTCCATTCTAACAAAATACCAAGCGACTTGTTTCATTGTTTGACATTCAAATATTAGTTTATTATACTTAGATAATAAGTTCACAATCTAATCGGAGAAACTAAATAAAATCGTTTGGCTCCAACTTTCCAGCTCGTTCTGAGCTTCTTCAATGCTTTGTAGGCCAGTAACTAAAATTATAAAATAAAACTTCTCGTTTTGCCTTTGGGCGATTAGATTAAAAAATATACTTAAATGCATCGTTCTTCTTGTAAAAAAGAATACTATTTATCGCATTCAAAATTAAAGAAGAAATCTCCGAAAATTAACTAATACCAAGACTAAATCCTGGCCATTACGGCCAAAATCTGTCATTTTAAGTCCATATAAACCAAATTCTGATTGGCAGAAACTAATTTTAAGTAACCAATGACAGGGTACAAATCCTCGAAAAGTTAATCACAAATTCCATCTGACATAAACTAAGATAATCGAGCAATCGGACAACTGATTATTCTCCAATTTCCATTGAAATTCTCCACACATGCACATGGCTATAACAGCTTTACTTCACTCATGAGAAAAAAACCGATTGAGAAAAAGTCTAAAAAAAAAACTCTGGAAAACGTTTTCAAGACGTTTCAACTTCGACGTCAATGCAACGCCCAAATCCACCTTGTAGGTAATACTTAGATTAAAAATTAACTTTTTACATAGCTACTCATGATAATTTCAAGACATCATATGAAAAAAACCAGTAGTTTCAGCAGAACATCAAAGATCAAGCTCTTAAGAGCAGTTCAGACAAACAAAAAGTCAACTTTTGAATCAAAGGAAGTCCGTTCTCTTGTTAAACTTGACTTTGGCCGTCTTTTGGTTCTTCCTGCTTTGAAAAGAAGACTCTTGAGAAAGATTTCATTAGTAGCTTACTGGTTTCTGGTCCAAATATCAGCTTTTGCAGGTATCCGAAAACACCCTGGGATCCCAATGCTCACTGCCTTAACTGAAAAATAAAAAAAGCTAAGTTTAGGGAGGATGGTTGAATTTCCATGAAATATTTCCCAGCACATGCGGAAAAGATACATTGCACAACAGAATTGTTTTTAAATAAATTTTTTTACTCCTATCATGTTCCCTAACAAGAATGTCATCATCGTAGACGTGTCCACTTGATTGTAATGCATCTCAATTTGCTGGAGCAAAAACTAAATTCGTAACTCAACTGAAAGGAAAATAATACGCAAGTATCATTGCTCATACATAAGCTATAATTACGATTTAAGATAACTTTGTATTGAATAGAATGTAGAAACAAAATATTTACTTGTTTCGGCCACTAATATCCTTGAAATCCAGGTTGACGTCATCACCAATGAGTACAAATGGTGCCCAGTAAATCACCTCCTTGAACTTTTCAATTTCTCTCATACACTTCATGGCGTGATTGAGAGCTTCACTTGCCTTCTTGCCTTTGGAAAGTGCATCGTAGAAGAAAGTCATGAACTCCAGGGTTCCCTCGTCGCCAATCGCCCACAAGGTTACCACAACAGATCTAGCACCGGCAGCCAAAAGTGCACGCGCCATGCCGACCACACCCTCAGCCATGACCTCCCCACGAGCAGTGTGACAGCAGCTAAGTACAACCAGACGTGCTCTTAACCCAGCTTCTATGACATCTTTCATCGTCAGTAGATAGTCCTTCTCTTGCGGCTGAGGGTTTTCTCTTGTGGTGTTTAGTGCCAGGATAACTTCTCCAGTTTCCAGTTTACCGTGTGCAGCAATGTGAACTAAGGCCACTGATGATATTCGTTTTAACACTTCATGTTTAGTTGCCATTTCTCCAATCAGGGGGGAAACATTAAGGACACGTCCGATCATCTCCACTTCTTTCCTTGCTCCTGGAAGTTGCACTAAAAGTCCTCCCTGATAGATGATATGTTTGAAACATGGGTCGCCGACAAGTAATGCACCAGTCTTCGTGTGAAAGTCAGCTGGACTATCACGAATTAGTTGCAACGTCGTCAGAGAGGGAAGCACACGAATTCTGAAAGAATCACTTAAATATGATGAGTTCGACTCCTGCAATGCTGCATAAGGTACTAGGCAAAATGGCCCCTCAGGAACGAATGTGATCTCGTCGTTGCCTTTGATCAGATCAGCAATAGGAGAAACGATGATTTCATGCAGCTTCTTTAAAGCACTTGATTGGGAGTGCCTCACATCAACTCGGATCACACCATTGGCCATTTCCTCTTCTGTCGGCGAATCAAGCAGAGGATTTTCGATTGCAACAGTATCACTTGCACCGATCTCCTTAAGCGCAGATTTGTTTAGTAGCTGGATGAAAAATTTCAATTCATTCTCATATTTATAATTGTTCACGTGTACTTCTCTCATCTGGATATGATTTTCACTGAGGCAAACCCAGAAGTAAACGCATGGTCCATTGATAGCTATGAAAACTGTGCTCAATGGAACCCACCTTAGAGAAATGCGGGATGCGCCGTGCGTTAAAGAATCTCCAGGATGATATTTTGTGTCCATGAGATCTCTCAGAGCTTGAGCACGTCCTTTCTCTGCGGAAAGAAGAGCCTTTACAACTTGACCTTGTTTGAGATTTATACGCCACAAACCTTTGTATGCACTTTGGTGCTCATTACGATAAGAAATCTTCCACTGATCGTTGAGTTGAAGACTGGCCCTGATATCATCATACAATTCTACACTCGAGTAATAACAGTCAAAGGCTATCATAAGATTTCCTTGGCACTCAAAACTGCTTCCAAGAGAACAGAGTGAGCACGCCTCTCCAGTCTTATCTCCCACTTCTTTGGATATTTCTCGGTGACGTTGATAATACACAATAGCTGTTTTCAACTCTCTTTGACCGAGATGAATGCTGCCTAGTCCGCAATAACAGATTCCCTCTCGAGCCTTATTTCCCACTTCTTTAGCAATTTCTAGATGACGTTGATGGTACTCGATTGCTGTTTTGAACTGTCGAAGACCTTGATAAGCGTTGCCGAGATTGCCATAACTGATTCCCTCTCCAGCCTTATCTCCCACTTCTTTAGCACTTTCTAGATGACGTTGATGGTACTCGATTGCTGTTTTGAACTGTCGTAGACCTTGATAAGCGTTGCCGAGATTGCCATAACTGATTCCCTCTCCGGCATTGTCTCCCACTTCTTTCGCAATTTCCAGATGACGTTGATGGTACTGGATGGCTGTTTTGAACTGTCCTAGACTGCAATAAGCGTTGCCGAGATTGCCATAACTGATTCCCTCTCCGGCCTTGTCTCCCACTTCTTTAGCAATTTCTAGATCACGTTGATGGTACTGGATGGCTGTTTTGAACTGTCCTAGACAGAGATAATCGTTGCCGAGATTGCCATAACTTTTTCCCTCTCCGGCCTTGTCTCCCACTTCTTTAGCAATTTCTAGATGACGTTGATGGTACTGGATGGCTGTTTTGAACTGTCCTAAACTGTTATAAACGCTGCCGAAATTGCAATAACTGATTCCCTCTCCAGCCTTGTTTCCCACTTCTTTAGCAATTTCTAGATGACGTTGATGGTACTGGATGGCTGTTTTGAACTGTCCTAGACTGTCATAAGCGTTGCCGAGATTGCCATAACTGATTCCCTCTCCGGCCTTGTTTCCCACTTCTTTAGCAATTTCTAGATGACGTTGATGGTACTGGATGGCTGTTTTGAACTGTCCTAGATCACGATAAGCGTTGCCGAGATTGCCATAACTTCTTCCCTCTCCGGCCTTGTCTCCCACTTCTTTAGCAATTTCTAGATGACGTTGATGGTACTGGATGGCTGTTTTGAACTGTCCTAGACAGCGATAAGCTTTGCCGAGGTTGCCATAACTGATTCCCTCTCCGGCCTTGTCTCCCACTTCTTTAGCAATTTCTAGATTACGTTGATGGTACTGGATGGCTGTTTTGAACTGTCCTAGACTGCGATAAGCGTTTCCGAGATTGCCATAACTGATTCCCTCTCCGGCCTTGTCTCCCACTTCTTTAGCAATTTCTAGATGACGTTGATGGTACTGGATGGCTGTTTTGAACTGTCCTAGACAGAGATAATCGTTGCCAAGATTGCCATAATTGATTCCCTCTCCGGCCTTGTCTCCCACTTCTTTAGCAATTTCTAGATGACGTTGATGGTACTGTATGGCTGTTTTGAACTGTCCTAGACTACGATAAGCGACACCGAGATTGCAATAACTGATTCCCTCTCCGGCCTTGTTTCCCACTTCTTTAGCAATTTCTAGATGACGCTGATGGTACTGGATGGCTGTTTTGAACTGTCCTAGATCTTCATAAGCGACGCCGAGATTGCAATAACTTCTTCCCTCTCCAGCCTTGTCTCCCACTTCTTTAGCAATTTCTAGATCACGTTGATGGTACTGGATGGCTGTTTTGAACTGTCCTAGACTGCAATAAGCGTTGCCGAGACTGCCATAACTTCTTCCCTCTCTGGCCTTGTCTCCCACTTCTTTAGCAATTTCTAGATGACGTTGATGGTACTGGATGGCTCTTTTGAACTGTCCTAAACTGCGATAAGCGGTGCCGAGATTGCCATAACTTCTTCCCTCATCGGCCTTGTTTCCCACTGCTTCAGCTATTTCTAGATGACGTTGATGGTACTGGATGGCATTTTTGAACCGTCCTAGACCATGATAAGCGACACCGAGATTGCAATAACTCCTTCCTTCTCCGGCCTTGTCTCCCACTTCTTTAGCAATTTCTAGATGACGTTGATGGTACTGGATGGCTGTTTTGAACTGTCCTAGACCTTGATAAGCGTTGCCGAGATTGCCATAACTTCTTCCCTCTCCAGCCTTGTCTCCCACTTCTTTAGCAATTTCTAGATGACGCTGATGGTACTGGATGGCTGTTTTGAACTGTCCTAGACAGCAATAATGTACGCCGAGATTGCCATAACTGATTCCCTCTCCGGCCTTGTTTTCCACTTCTTTAGCAATTTCTATATGACGTTGCTGGTACTGGATGGCTGTTTTGAACTGTCCTAGACCTTGATAAGCGACGCCGAGAATGCAATAACTTCTTCCCTCTCCAGCCTTGTCTCCCACTTCTTTAGCAATTTCCAGATGACGTTGATGGTACTGGATGGCTGTTTTGAACTGTCCTAGACTGTCATAAGCGTTGCCGAGACTGCTATAACTATTTCCCTCTCCGGCCTTGTTTCGCACTTCTTTAGCAATTTCTAGATGACGTTGATGGTACTGGATGGCTATTTTGAACTGTCCTAGACCTTGATAAGCGTTGCCGAGATTGCAATAACTACTTCCTTCTCCGGCCTTGTCTCCCACTTCTTTGGCAATTTCTAGATGACGTTGATGGTACTGGATGGCTGTTTCGAACTGTCCTAGGCTGCGATAAGCGTTGCCGAGATTGCCATAACTGATTTCCTCTCCGGCCTTGTCTCCCACTTCTTTAGCAATTTCTAGATGACGTTGATGGTACTGGATGGCTGTTTTGAACTGTCCTAAACTGCGATAAGCGTTGCCGAGATTGCCATAAACTCTTCCCTCATCGGCCTTGTTTCCCACTGCTTCAGCTATTTCTAGATGACGTTGATCGTACTGGATGGCTGTTTTGAAGTGTCCTAGACCATGATAAGCGATACCGAGATTGCAATAACTTCTTCCTTCTCCGGCCTGGTATCCCACTTCTTTAGCAATTTCTAGATGACGTTGATGGTACTGGATGGCTGTTTTGAACTGTCCTAGACCTTGATAAGCGTTGCCGAGATTGCCATAACTTCTTCCCTCTCCAACCTTGTCTCCCACTTCTTTAGCAATTTCTAGATGACGCTGATGGTACTGGATGGCTGTTTTGAACTGTCCTAGACTACGATAAGCGACACCGAGATTGCAATAACTGATTCCCTCTCCGGCCTTGTTTCCCACTTCTTTAGCAATTTCTAGATGACGTTGATGGTACTGGATGGCTGTTTTGAACTGTCCTAGACCTTGATAAGCGTTGCCGAGATTGCCATGCCTGATTCCCTCTTCGGCCTTGTCTCCCACTTCTTTAGCAATTTCTAGATGACGTTGATGGTACTGGATGGCTGTTTTGAACTGTCCTAGACCTTGATAAGCGTTGCCGAGATTGCCATAACTTCTTCCCTCTCCGGTCTTGTCTCCCACTTCTTTAGCAATTTCTAGATCACGTTGATGGTACTGGATGGCTGTTTTGAACTGTCCTAGACAGCGATAATTGTTGCCGAGATTGCCACAACTGATTCCCTCTCCGGCCTTGTCTCCCACTTCTTTAGCAATTTCTAAATCATGTTGATGGTACTGGATGGCTGTTTTGAACTGTCCTAGACTACGATAAGCGACACCGAGATTGCAATAACTGATTCCCTCTCCGGCCTTGTTTCCCACTTCTTTAGCAATTTCTAGATGACGTTGATGGTACTGGATGGCTGTTTTGAACTGTCCTAGACAGTGATAATCGTCGCCGAGATTGCCATAACTGATTCCCTCTCCGGCCTTGTTTCGCACTTCTTTCGCAATTTCTAGATCACGTTGATGGTACTGGATGGCTGTTTTGAACTGTCCTAGACCTTGATAAGCGTTGCCGAGATTGCCAAAACTTCTTCCCTCTCCGGCCTTGTCTCCCACTTCTTTAGCAATTTCTAGATCACGTTGATGGTACTGGATGGCTGTTTTGAACTGTCCTAGACAGCGATAATTGTTGATGGTACTGGATGGATGATTGCGATAAACACCGAGATAGCAATAACTGATTCCCTCTCCGGCCTTGTTTCCCACTTCTTTAGCAATTTCTAGATGACGTTGATGGTACTGGATGGCTGTTTTGAACTGTCCTAGACCTTGATAAGCGTTGCCGAGATTGCAATAACTTCTTCCTTCTCCGGCCTTGTCTCCCACTTCTTTAGCAATTTCTAGATGACGTTGATGGTACTGGATGGCTGTTTTGAACTGTCCTAGACTGCAATAAGCGTTGCCGAGATTGCCATAACTTCTTCCCTCTCCAGCCTTGTCTCCCACTTCTTCAGCAATTTCTAGATGACGCTGATGGTACTGGATGGCTGTTTTGAACTGTCCTAGACTACGATAAGCGACACCGAGATTGCAATAACTGATTCCCTCTCCGGCCTTGTTTCCCACTTCTTTAGCAATTTCTAGATGACGTTGATGGTACTGGATGGCTGTTTTGAACTGTCCTAGACCTTGATAAGCGTTGCCGAGATTGCCATGCCTGATTCCCTCTTCGGCGTTGTCTCCCACTTCTTTAGCAATTTCTAGATGACGTTGATGGTACTGGATGGCTGTTTTGAACTGTCCTAGACAGCGATAATTGTTGCCGAGATTGCAGGAACTGATTCCCTCTCCGGCCTTGTTTCCCAAGTCGTTAGCAATTTCTAGATGACGTTGATGGTACTGGATGGCTGTTTTGAACTGTCCTAGACCTTGATAAGCGACGCCGAGAATGCAATAACTTCTTCCCTCTCCAGCCTTGTCTCCCACTTCTTTAGTAATTTCTAGATGACGTTGATGGTACTGGATGGCTGTTTTGAACTGTCCTAGACTGCAATAAGCGTTGCCGAGACTGCCATAACTTTTTCCCTCTCCGGCCTTGTCTCCCACTTCTTTAGCAATTTCTAGATGACGTTGATGGTACTGGATGGCTGTTTTGAACCGTCCTAAACCTTGATAAGCGTTGCCGAGATTGCCATAAGTGATTCCCTCTCCGGCCTTGTCTCCCACTTCTTTAGCAATTTCTAGATGACGTTGATGGTACTGAATGGCTGTTTTGAACTGTCCTAGACCTTGATAAGCGATACCGAGATTGCAGTAACTGATTCCCTCTCCGGCCTTGTCTCCCACTTCTTCAGCATTTTCTAGATGACGTTGATGGTACTGGATGGCTGTTTTGAACTGTCCTAGACTGTCATAAGCGTTGCCGAGATTGACATAACTTTTCCCCTCTCCGGCCTTGTCTCCCACTTCTTTAGCAATTTCTAGATGACATTGATGGTACTGGATTGCTGTTTTGAACTGTCCTAGACCTTGATGAGCGTTGCCGAGATTGCAATAACTTCTTCCTTCTCCGACCTTGTCTTCCACTTCTTTAGCAATTTCTAGATGACGTTGATGGTATTGGATGGCTGTTTTAAACTGTCCTAGACCTTGATAAGCGCTGCCGAGACTGCCATAACTGATTCCCTCTCCGGCCTTGTTTCCCACTTCTTTAGCAATTTCTAGATCACGTTGATGGTACTGGATGGCTGTTTTGAACTTTCCAAGACTGTGATAAGTGTTGCCGAGATTGCCATAACTTTTTCCCTCTCCGGCCTTGTCTCCTACTTCTTTAGCAATTTCTAGATGACGTTGATGGTACTGGATGGCTGTTTTGAACTGTCCTAGGCTTTGATAAGCGTTGCCGAGATTGCAATAGTTTCTTCCCTCTTCGGTCTTATCTCCCACTACTTTAGCAATTTCTAGTTGATGCTGATGGTACTTGATAGCTGTTTTTAACTTTCCTAGGCCTTGATAAGCGTTGCTGAGATTGGAAGAACTGTTTGCTATGACTATTAGTTCAGCATTAGTTTTCCTTAGTAATTGAAGCAGACGTTTCTCGTCATTTTCAATCTTAAAACGTGTCAAGGGTCGATAAATCATGAACAGATTTGCGGAAATGCAGTGGAAATGTGTATTTTAAAAGAAAAGTGAGATTATTAGATAGAACCTTAAAACTGGAATGATAATTCGAACGTGGGTTTCTTTTAGAGATTTGATTTCAAGTTATTGGAGGGTTTTAACTAGCTCTGAAGCGCATTTATTGGTTTAGGTTCGGTCGTCATGGTAATGTTCGTCTGGAGACAAAAATGAGGGGCATTCAGCAGAAACTCTGGGAATTAGTTAATATGGCCTCTTCTTTTGAGTTAAGTTTCGTGGAATAGTCGAAAGAATTCTTAACGAATATTTTAGCTTCTTTAAACTGCTCAGTGCAGTATAAGAGAACATTGCTTGCATTATGTGTTGAAGAATCTCTCCGGAACGTATTGATTCCCTTGAAATATTACTCGCATTGCATCTCGTATCACGTTTGAAACATTCGTTAAAGGATACGGCCAATCCCATATGCAACCAGCTCCTTGCTTCTTTATACCAGCAAAGTTCGACACAAGCTCTGGCTCCTGAAAAGGAGAGAATAATTGGTGGTACGAAGTAACTCATCACTTTTGAAGTATAAACGTATTGATAAAATGGACTTAATTTCCCATTTTAGCTAGGAACAAAAATTGTTATAATGAAAGAAATTTGAAGTTGTGGAAGAACTGAAAATAAACAATAAGGAGCTAATGCAAAGCGGCTACCAATTAAGCTTCAATTGATCATGATAACGATGAATTTATATCGCGAATTCTTTTTTTCAATGTGCTTGAATGCGCTTTTCAGCACTTTTCGGGGAACTTTTCGGGCAGACTGCATTGAGCAGTTTACAACTTTTGAAAGGGAATTTTCCAGGTGCCTCCTTGAGTTACGGAGAAGATGCAAGAAACGGGGCTCACGGTTTTCCCCTCTTATCCGGGACAAGAATATCAAACCATTTGCTGAAGTCACAGCTTAGACGGTAGCACACTGTCCTCAGATCTTTTAAGACTTAGGGTGATGGTCCGGTCTAGGGCTTGAGCCCCCGACCTCCGACGCTCTACAACGTGAACTAACCAGGCAGCGGTATTTGAGAGCTTATTGACATTTTCTTATACTTTTTACCCAGACAGACATTGACACACCAGATACAACAGGTGCCCTTACCTGCCACAGACCACACAATCCTCTTTTGACGAGAATAGAATGTTGATGACTTACGTCTGAAAAACTCACCTTTCTTAATAGCTTTGATTAAAGTGGGTTCCAATTGGACGGCAACTGTTGCATCATCGAGACATTCCACGTAGTTTCCTGTGAGATTCAGGAAATTAAGGTTTAAAAAAGTGGTCATCACATGGAATTGCAACAAAGAAGCCTTCAAAAATTACAATTGCTTGAAATGTAACGAGAATCATTTCTTTGCTTAATTTTCATCCGCTACAGGGCGATTTATGTTTTTACGCTACCTTTCTGCAGTTTCTCAATTTTTTTCTTTTGTTGATGTTATCTTGTAACGCTGTATGACAGATTTATATGTTTACATATGAAATTGTTACCCAAACGGAAATGAGCTGTTGCCCTGTTGCTGTAGAGCTTGGCGTTCAGCCGTTTATCTTTGCAGTTCACTTGAAGTCCTTCCGTGTAGGAGTTTATCGCGTTATTAGCTTCTCCTTGTCTGTATTCTTTGTTACCTTCCTCGAGACATACTCTCGCTATCCCTAAAAACACACCATGTTAGTGTTAATGATTTAGTAATGACTTATACCACCCTTGACGGATGATGCCAACTTTATAGTTCCAAACGAACTTAAAGGTTAAAGGAGCTTTAAGCTATGAATAATAATAATAATAATGATAATAATAATAATAATAATAATAATAATAATAATAAAAGTTTTATTCCTGATGTTGTCATAACTTTACGAGAAGGCATGGAATATTTAGGAGACCAAACCAGGCGTTACGGCCGAGACAAAATGCCTCCTCTTCTCTGTAGAATTCTGAAATTGCGTAAAATTTCTACCAAGCATGTACTGATCAGTAAGGGACAAAAAGTTGTTAGCGTAAATACTTTTCTTTTGGCGGCCTCAAAAAGTTACCCGTTTGTAAATTTTTATTATCTTTGACGGGTGTACGGGTACCAACAGCTCTCTCTTGCCACAAATGACTTTCATATTAAAAATGACCAAATTTACAAGTATAATACTTTTAATGCGCAAATATCGTTCACTTTAGGTGCAAATGGCAGATACATTGTTCATCTCCAAACATTATGCGTTGATTTACAAGTAAGCACTTCTAAAACTGAGAAAAATGAGTCTTACGAAGCCTAGTAGGCCAATTTTGGCCCATTCTTTAACTTAGCGCTCTTCAAAGCTAAGTCGCGTTCAAATTTGGCGCTTCATTGCTTATGAATAATTAATGATGTTTATACATTTTACTCCGTCATTTTACTGGTAACAGAGTTTGAATTTGAAGAAAAAAATATTTTGCTGTCTCAAAAACTTATTCACAGAACATAAGCAAATGTTGATGTAAATGTGAAAAAAAAAACTTCACTGAGGCGTCTTTCAAAAAATCTTACTTCACCTGGTTTTCTTACCTCTTAAAGGGTCATTGTATGCATCCAGTTCAGAGTCACTTGACGTAACTTGACTTTCCTCTGTTGCTGAAATTACCGAGAAGATATTCAACTTTGTTAGTGATTACAACTATGTGCAATTACAACTAGCGTTCTAATACTGGCGTATCTAGTGGATTCCCTAAAAACCTTCAAGTCGAAGTGATCCAAAAAATTGTGCACCAGAGTTAAGATATACTTAATTAACAAACAGTAAAAAATTACAATAAAGAAGTCTCTCCCTGTTGCTTTTTCTTACCTGTAGCTGGAAAGTCATTTTTCAGCTCCAGTTCTTCTCCCGTTCTTGGGAGGTTGCTTTCTGCCATAGCTAGAAATAAAATCGAATCGATTGTACTGCGCTACATTGTTAAAAATAAAAAAGAGGAGACTCGGATAAAAGTAACGAAAAGAAAACGTTGTATACTTAATCATTGAGGAAGAATAAGAATCTCAAAATTTGCTCCGTCACGCTATTGTTATTGCGTGACAGCTCCAGCCAAAGTTTTGCGGGGTGTCAGGTTTGTTTTTTCAATTGTTTGTTTGTTTGTTTGTTTTCGTGGTCTCATCAAAAATTATGCAATAAAAGACTCTTTCTCTCATTCCTTCACTTTATCGCGTGTGGGGCTGTGAGAATTAGCGAAACTTATTCAAACCCGAAACACCTACGAGGGTTTGCTTAACCGTCACGAATTCTACCAACACTCCGCGAGCCTACTGCGTAAAGAAACACGATCATCGACCCGTGCAAGTGAGTATACAATTTCCTTCAAAGCTTCAAAAATTGGTGGACAAAGGTTTTCTTAAAAAATTCGTAAGTTCTAATAAAGAAAAAAAGAAATGCTTGTAGCCTTTTGAATACCTTGTATAATGTCGTAACTAAACAGTGTATTTTTGTTACATGAATAAAAGCTTTTCCAGCATTTTTGGCTATAACAGAGGTCACAGATTCGTCCTAAATGAAAACAAAACTCACAAGGAAACTCGCAGATTCATTTCGTATCACATTTATCATGTGATACATCCTTTGATCCTTTGCTGACGAAGCCTTCGTCTCAGTCCTTAAAATGCAGTGAGGGAAATTGGCCGATGTACAGCCTTTTTAAGCTCACGCTTGTTCAGTAATGCACATGCATAGATGAGGTATTAGATAACCACGCGTGGATACGAATTTTACCATCAAATGTTCATGACATCTTTCACACCTTCAAAGAGGTAATTCAATTCAAGCACTTAAATTCGAATCCAGAGGCGAACATGTATCATCCTTTTTTATTCAAAAGATATTGATTGAAAATTTGAATCACATGGGAGCATCGAATACAGAGATCCGCTACACCGAAACTCAACTCGCCGGAAAACCAATTCAATTTCAAACATTTTAAAACAATTTCTCATTACAAGAACTATTTCCTTTAAAACGAATTGAACTCAGCTTCAGGTAAAAATAAATTTAAAAAAAGCCTTCACGGTTCCAAGGACGACATTGATAACTTCATATGTGAAGATATAAATGATACGCTTACAGCGTGCGGTGGAGATGTCACGTTTTGGAAACTGAAAAAATTCTGGTATTCCACCGACAACCAAAGTACTGTTATTATTACTATATATCGCGAATGTTACGATATAAAAAAAAAAGGGTAAGGATTTTGTTTTTTATCATTATTTTTTTTAATTTCAACCTCGAGCTTTGTTTTACACTTCGTTTGTTTTCGAGAGATAATAGCTGGTTTTGGTATTCACGAAAGCTATAGTTATATACAGCACGTTATCTAGCTCTGTCACATGCTCATCACGCGCTTCTGCCACATAATCATCACTTACAGTCAAACCTTTAACTCCCGTGATCTAATTGTTAATTCTCCCCTCTAGCTGCTACATGTTTCCTTTCACAGTAGGTACAGAAATTTAGTATTAGTTCAAAGATAACGAATTCTACCTGATAAAACTTTGAGTATTCTCATTGCCTGTTTGCTGGATAATGTATTGATATTACAGGGATAAGTTACAAGTTATATCACTTTTAGGAGTTTAAGGCTTTAGGAAATTGCATCGCGTGCAGGCTATTTAACCACGAGGCAAATGAGAGAAACCAAAGAAATATTTTCATATCTGACAACAATAAACCGAAGAAATTCGACTGAAATTAAACTTGATTATTGTCAGCCGCAACGAAATTAAGATTACGATCTTTTTTTTTTATAAATAACAAGAGCTCTACTGCTCTAATCAGTTGCAGAATTAAAATTGTTTTGTACCTGTATCTGAATCCCTCTATTCTCCAGACGATGCCATTTGTTAATTCTACATGCCTGAAAATATCAAGAATAATATTTTGCTTTACAACAATTTCAATGAAAAAATGAAGGTAACATATCCACGAGTTTGAAAGATCTAACCGCTTCTAATTCCCAGTTGCGTGATCAAAATTGCTGTCCTTCTTTAAGAAAGTTATTGTGCTTGTTTTTTTGTTTGTTTGTTTTTTAATTCTTTTTATGATTATTACTTGTTTACATGTTTCTCCATGGCGATTAATTAGTTCTCTGATTTAAATTCAGCTCTTTTTCTTTTAGTGCAAAACATTCGCAATCCGCAATACCCCTTTTCTCCTCAGAGCAGGACATGTTACACTCTGCCATAACTGAATCGATAAGGATGAATTCACACCATGAGTTATATTGTACCACTGCAATTTCTCTTCAAGTGATCAACGCGATATATCCCTCGTTCAATATGATACACATTTGTTTTTGGTCATCTTCCCATTAGCGCTACAGTTCTCTCAAATGTTCATTTTCCGCTCTCGCCGTGACAAATTCATAAAGTTTCTAATGATAATAACGACAAGCTTTTTCCTTTTAAATAACTCCCGCCAATTCTGCACTTAATATTTTTGCAGTCAAAAGCGTTGGTGTCCAGTGAAATCACCAGAGGGAGATACAAAGCTAAAGAAATCACATCAATAATATGTATTCTTTATGTAAATTTTTTCCAATTTTCTCGTCTTTCGATTATAATATGCTACATATTTCTTCATTATTTTTCCTCACCTGAAGTGTACTTGCAATAAATTCAACTCCAAGAAAATTCTTAAAGCGAATACCATAAGTACTCTTCTTAAAGAAATATCCGAGGAGGAGGAATTTTTTTAAATCTATGTACTCCATGCATCTTTGTGTAAAGAAACCCTCTGTGTATCTTATAGGAATTTTATGAATAAATTGTTATTGAGCCAGTTGTCTTTAAGTTGGAGGAGAAATCCGAGGCCCTAGTTCTCTGTTTCTTTGAGCTCCAGAATTGTCTGCTGAGTTTGCATGCAGTAAGCGAGGCCATAAATTATTGTATAATAGTTCATACAGACAAGTGACGCACTTGATACTGGAATCAGAAATGCCGCAGCTTCGTAAATCCCTCATGGGAAGATAAATAAGCTACTTCAAGGTCTGGTTTGTTTATCTACATGTCAGCATTGATATTTAACCTGTCGTTTAACCTGATCTGACGAATAGGGGTTTTTTTTCGGTCGTCGGTTAAAAAAGGTTTTTTTCCTTTGTCACAAAAGAGCTTGAAATTCCCTTTCTATCATTACGTATTTTAAGACATGAAACTTTCGACATTGATGATCTAAGCAGTATGCAGGATGATCCTTTATGTATCCACTGTATGTCATGGCTCATTAACGAGAAATCTATAGCTACATGTGAGAACTTCTGATCGTGAAATCTGACGGTCTAAGATTCGATCCTGCGTTCGTGACGAGTAAATAAGATCCATATTTCTTTCATTCTTTTGTCTCATGTCTCAAATTATTTCTAGTTGTATCTATAGTCAATACCCGTTTATCTCATTCACTGCATTAGGTCGCTATGAACTTATTCTGTCCTCACCTTAACTCCTGAGAAAATGTGATTTACCCCACAAGTGTGTCACAAAACGATGCACTTGGTAACACCAGCAGTATTGAAGAAGCTGAATATGAGCTCATCGAACTCGAAACAGAAAATCGTATATCATGGTTTATTTCGTGACCCATGATTCTATTTTGTAGCTATGCTGTTTCACTATTTATACGCCAAGTTTGGACAGGGCCTCATATTACATTTTCAACTTTTCATTTTCATTAATCCCAAGTATGGCACAATGACATAAACATGCTATTTATTTTTTTTTTTGGCTGATGTGATGGTCGTTAAACCATCGCCTGCTTAGGTTGATCGAAGGGCGCTGGACTGCAATACGAGAGGTATTGTAGGCACCAATTTCAAAAAAGGATTCTCAACAAAGAAACATATGATGATCTCCACAGCAAGAAATATAAGTTTATGCTACTGGAAAAAAAAAAACCTCTTTTATAAGCCAATATCAAAATGGAATTAATTCATTTCTACCCTCCAGCAGGTAAAATTTTCATTTCTAGTTAGTTTGCTAATGTGTTTATGTCCATGGTTTTTTTTCCCCCTCTTTTGAGCTGTGTATTACAATGTACCTTGGAAAGTTTGCTCTCTCCAGGATCCCATTTCACCACATCATAACTTGTTTTCTTGCTCACTGATTGGGTAACTTTTCCATCATATCTTTGAATCAAATCAGCTGCCTCCTTTCTCTCAATACTTTCCAAGATTCCTGTGATAATAAATGTCAGTCCATCCAAACAGTTTTCAGCTCCCTAAAAATTAAATTATCAAGTGCATACATGATTCAAGATGTGCAGACAAATAATCAATTCTTCCCTTGAAGGCCTCTTAATATAGTCCAAACTGAAAAGCTCTAAATGGCAAAAAAGTTAAAGACTCAGTAGATATTTGTCTTGCACCTCTTATTAAAATTTGAAAGGATGGAAAACAAACCGCTAAGAGCTTTGAGAGATAATAATAATTGAATTACCAGAAGAAACTATCATGTAACCTCTCCCTAGAATATCCATACATTATCCAGCAAACAGGTACTGAGAACACTAAAACTTATCAGGTACATATATTGTTATGATGATCTAACAACAAATTCTTGTTATTTATTTACAGGAAAACGCGTAGCAGCTAGAGGGGAGAATTAATAATCAGATCTTGGACTTTGAAACCTACCTGAGGGATTTCCTTTGAACCAAGTGCCCTAGGACCATCTCTTAAGTGTATATCAAACATTCTAACAGCTGGGAGTTGTCCTGACAAGGCAAGAGTTGTCCAAATAGGAATGTTAATAGTGAAATACACTGCTGCTTTGAAAAACAGAGATAAAATGGCAGCATCTTCCTGAATTGTCAGAGTTAAAATCACCTAGTTAATATTAATTCTAGGTAAAGTAATGGTAGTATTTTGAGTAGTGTTAG